ACGTATTTTCCTACCAAACACAGGAACATGCAATGGGGCGAGTATAAAAACAAAGAATAAGATAGAAACAATGACAGTGACATGAGCAACAATCGTCAGCTACTACGCGGAGTCGGGGCGCGGACTCCAGTAGCGTATGGTTCGTAAGCAATTAACCCAATCGCTGTTCCTGCTGTTTGGTAGGCACAGAAGCCCACTGCCGTACCATTTCATATTCATCAGCATTGTCGTCAACACCCTGCATGGCAGGACGTACACATCATAACGATGACACAGATAGAAATTGTCCACTTTCCAGTTCGCCCTTCGCCTCCAGTTAGAGAAATGGCGTAGCGCTAACAAGACAGGACAAGTAGGTACCGTCACATTGCCAGTGTGCGACACGATTGCTAGTTATAAATTTACTACGGCGAAGCACCCAGATAAATAAACGAGACGAAGCCAAGGTAAAAGCGATTTCATTGTCCTGCGACTTGCGCCCCTACCTAGGCCTTCCAGCCTGCCGCGTCGTCGTCGCTGTACTAAGACCTTTTTACGGTACGGTCGCGTATCAGACTTTGTTCGTCCTGTGGAAATGATTTACCGGAATCTGTACTGGACCGATTTCGACTGCGGGGCGCTTCATTGAAATACGTTATTTTGACTTCAGTTGACAGAGATGCTGAACCTCGCTGCCGTTGCGCGTCACACAACGATATAGTCAACAAAACCTTGTTTACGGTAGCATCATTACTGGACTCGCTTTTTGCCGCCCTTCTATTCCTATCTCGCTAGATCCCCTACATTGAGGAATGTCGCTAATTTCCATTCGGTCAGAAATCGCATGACGGCCATTTCTTTTAGTACCGTCATCTTCGATTTTTTTTCCTTTTGTTTCCTGCAACATCATCTTAAACATCAACAAGCGCAAGCCAAATAGCTGCCGGATGCTACTACCGTAACTCAAAATGTCTGCATTGCAGTAGATAACTATGATACTAGCGAATACACTTCGATAAAGTTGGATACGGTCTCGTATAATAGATGTATACAAGTAAATCAAGGTAAAAATAGCGTCAGCTGGGCGACGACGACAGCCTTGCCAACGTGGCAAACGTCCTGCTTGCTATGCAAAATTCTCGAAACCCAACCTGAACTGGCAACCCATAACGAGAATATCTCCACATACAAAGCCTACGACGACCGCTGCTAATTGAGGGTATGCTTACTATATTTATTAATCATACATACAATCACTACCGTCAATAACAATAGTAATTTATAATAAAGTATATTGGTGTCAAATATATCGCGATCCAATGGCAATCCTTTCGCAGCCTGAGCGGCCGTCGTATTCTCGCGCCTTCGCTCCAACTTCGAACAGATGCGACATGGCGAACCTTACCTTGTCGAAGATAAGGCTATACTTTCGAAGTACTGAATTGAAAAAACAATTTTCTGCTTTAATACCTACTCAATCATTCGATTTGTCCAAAGAAGAGATTTTTGTCGAACAACTTAACAGGGCCAATACCAACACGAAGCAGTGATGGCAGAGTACAGTAAAATGACTCAATCTAGAAACGTATTGTTGAAAAGGCGAAATGTCTCCAATGCTTCGTTCCGATAATGAATCCTTGTTTTGTAATCTCACTGTATGATAATATATGAACCTCAAGTTTCCGTCGTGTATGGCTACGCGAGCGCCATAGCCGTCACGTAAGATTTTGGAGCTGTTAATAGCCCGGAATTATTTGTATTTTCGTACACATACGGCAATAAAGTTCTTCAGCTTCTGTTAAAGACGAAGAAAATAGACACCTCATATCGCTGTAGATGAAACGTACGTTTGTCGATGATTTGATAGATTTTCGTAGATTTTCATGCAAACAAAGCACCGTTTCAGATTTGAATAGAATTGGACTTCAGTAATCTTCGCACCCTGCTAATCTGTAACACGAGTCTATGATTAGGAAGGTAAAGATGAATGTTTCAAGCAAAGGCTTCCGGCTCGTGATTTAATCGCGTTTATTTATTAACAAAATTGTGATGGGCCGATCATTGGCTGTGCTCAAGCCCTTTAACCGAACATTTATTTATGCAAACCGTATGCGGAATCTGAACAGCATTCGCTTCCATCTAAATAGTAAATGGTTCACAACGAGTCGTAGCGTTCAAAGCCCTAACGGCTAGCGGATCGAGGTTAAATTTACCCCAGAGCTGATGTATAAAGGCTCATTGCACTGCGTTCAACATCCGCGCACCCAACGAGTTTGGCAGCGACGATTCTGTTACACTTAACGTCTACCGTTTATTTCAGATACCCGCAGCCATATGAACATTCATTCACTAACAAATCTCTCTTCTTGCTTTACTTTATCAACCCATTGTGTGTCCGCCTAGTTCGTTATAAATACGAGTTTTGTTAGAGTTGCTGTCATATCCTACGCTCTGAACGCTCTATCTGCAATAGAGAGAAAGGCCATGCCATGAAAAACCGACGCTTTTATTAGTACAGGTAGCGCTATCATTCGTTGCCTCCTTTGCTACGGTACAAATTAATGGAAACACCTGAACATCTTGGAATGATAACTTCAAATCGATCCATCATCTTCCTCCCCCCCACCCAATATCGATCGAATAAAAGATATGACCTTGAGAGTGGGGCGGGAAATTTGAACGAGGAATGTTCAGTAAACTAGTGTTAATTACCAAACACTGACTAAATGACACTTGTTTTTTTTTACACTTCTATCTATGTAGGCTATTGAGAGCGCCGCAGACGAGCTTTATGGTAAAACAATATGTTGCATTTGTTTTTTATTGACCCACGAAAGCCAGTGGAACGTTAACGCGCTCAGCTGACTTGGGCCTTTACACTGATGAACCAATAGAACGATAGCGAAAATAGCTGGCCGCATAATGCTAAATTTGATAAATTAGACTCACCGGTTGGATCTACCACAGATTGGAATAAATAGTAAAAATTTATTGGTCAGTGCTGTATATCGATTGGTGTTAATGTGAGCTTTTCTATTCGCACCATCTATTCAGATATTTCAACGTACCCTCTCAGACAAAATAGTTGCTCATAGGACATACATCTGAGCAAGTATATTTAGAGAACAAACAGTATCATGTAGGTAGGGGGAATTCCGCCAAGCTTCTCTATGTTACTTTAACGGCAGGTTCGATGGAACGCTCGGTCAGACACACGACGACCCAGTGGCTGTAAGGTGCTCCAGGATACATAGTGGTGGAAAAGACAGCAGTAACTTATAAAAACACGTGGAATGAATTTTTTAGAATATTAGGTGGCCTGTGGAGTTCCGCAAGCGTTCTGAAGGAACGCTGAGTGACAGCGACTGGCTTTGATTGCATACCGGTATTGTGCTACGAAAAAGGTCGATAGTTTGGCGACGGTTTAAGCAAAACTCAGGCGTCCGAATAAAGAACGAGTAGAAAAAACAGCTTATTTCATTAGCTGATGCCAACGCCACTGTCGCTGCTAGCGCCGACAGAAATAGTTATTTCACTGATGCCAGCAGTTAGATGTCTATAGTATTAGAAGTTAGGTATAGCAATAGCAAAGACCCGCTGACCGAATCGCCGGCTTTCGCGTTTGTTGCGTTAACAGATCGAGTGAGTGACAGAGGGCGAAAGATGCCGTTGAAGAGATGGGACCCAGCCGACGGGGGTGATGGATGATGACATCTGCTGTTGCACTGACACCATTGGACGCGACGCAGACGTAGGGGCAATGAAAAAAACAACTCAATTGTTGTCCATGATTTCAGCATTTCACGTTCACCCGGACACGAATGTCTATTGTCTGTGGACTGAAACGGAGTAACTGGACGACGGCAGCGACTGGAACTTTGAAATAGGCTACCAGGCGAGCTAGATTTCTTTAATTATGGCACCTGTTCCGGATAGAGTTTACTAGACAAAACGTAATTTTCACCTTTTTAAGTGGAGGGTAAAAAAAGAAAATTTCCAAGTAAAAAAGTAAACCATAACTACAGTCAAAGTGATTTAATTGTCTCTGCCAGATAATTATAACTAATGCACATTATATTATGACTGCCATCGTTCTCACTATCGCGACTGATACTAAGCGTTGTTTCGGATTTATTACTACTGTCCAAAAAAGTTGGACAAATAAAAAGACGCGCAGGGGTAAATGAATTAGAAAAGCAGATAGCAGTGCGAAGCACAACCCGACTAGCGCAAGCAATGAGGCACATTTTCGCTAGTCCCCACACACCCTATATTGAATTCACCCAGATAGTGTCTCTGGGATTAAGCGAAAGAACTGGACTGGGGACTGTTCTACAGCGACAGTTCCAGTGACAGAAAATGGCTCGTGTCAACGTTTCGTACCGTCTACGACCCTCTGGGTAACTATTAGAAAGGAATCGTTTTCACGGCCAACGATGTAAGCAAGCAAATGTTAGCGCGTGTGACTGAATGGAGCAGAATAGAAATATATCGTAAAACATTGTTGAAGTAACCGACGAAGCGACAAAGACTCTAAAAAAGATACACCGTAAAAGATAGCCAGGCGTACAACTATCATTCACTCAGACGCCGTAACCCAGCCCTCAAGTGGGGTCATTCATGTGTTGTAGCAGTTGGGTCAATTTGAAGCCATTACGGCCCGTTTGTTCAACCTCTTAGTCAAATAGTGCCTTGGACCAATCCTGCAGTGCCGGCCGTGTCACGATTACCACCCGATCTCCTTGTAGCATTGTCGCTAAGGTAGAGAGTGTGGATTTTCTGGTACGAATGCTCGTTTCGAATGATGCGAACTATCATTAGTGGTGAAACAGTCCAACCTTTATAGGTGACTTAATTTTGACGGTGCCATTATTTCGTCACCACCTTAAAGTTACATCGTCGGCTGCATATTTGCGAACAAGACATGATGAGCGCCGGCGGTGTTAACCCATTTTTTTGTATGTGAAATTGCCGAATATCGCAAACATGCAGGCTATGACGACCGTGCTTGTCCTACTCACCGAACCAGTTGGATTTCTTGTCTGATGGCTCAGCTCTCTGCGCGAAATAGGCTGGCCGCAGCGCCGTCATATTCTGGTTGAGACTGACACGCTGCACCTCGTGCGAGGTTCTTCTGCCCTTTTCGTCCTCTAGCGATGACCCTTTATTACCTCTGCTGTTGACGGAGGTACTTTTGCCATTGGCAGACGACACCCTCGAATAGATTTTTGGCAGAGGCTCAAAACACACCTCATGATCGCCGCATAGGCCGGCTACGTCAAGGGAAAGCGGTGGGGCTGAATGAGGGAAGAGTGTCAGCTCGGAGGGACACGACGACGGACTGCTTCCACTATGCTGAGCGTAGGCAGCACCTCCAGGCGTAGGATCACTGACGCAGCTTCCACTGGATACCACAAGTCGCTTCTTCGTGCCGAAAAGGCGCTGAAAATTTGCGGAAAAAATGGAAGCAGACACACAAACAGGGTTGGGCGAGATATGTTAATCCATGAATAGCCAAGCATGTTCTGTAAGAACTGTGGGCTGACGTGGGAGATGCGAGCTAAGAAAATGAAGTAAAAATAAAAATAATACCTGACTATATCTAGTAAGGGTACGATCTGTCTGTAATGATATCCCACTGATAAAATTAAATGATAAAAATCTTCGAGCGTCTATCGGGTAGCTATGCATCTTTAACTTACTCATAAATTTAGAAACCCATCTAGAAACACTACCTTGGTTCGAATAAATAGAACGAATATATGTCAAATATCTTTCGTATTTCGAAGCCTCTCAAGTCTACTTATTTGGCGGTAAAAATTCATATGGTTCAAATTTTTTCTACTACCAAAACAAAGCAGACGTACTATTGACTAATCATTACCACTAGATAGACGTAGTATTGCATTCGCTTAAAAGCTGCATTGGACTAGCAATATCTAAATACAAAATATTTAGTTTTGTTAAAACTATCTATTAATTTTCTATTTGCTTGTTTCCTCACGTAATCACACCTTAAGCTAGCGACTCCTACTTGCTTCAGCCAGAAATGTTCATATACCTTCTTGATAAGGCTCGTTGTTAATAGAGGTACGCTAAATGTTACACAGTGTCTTTATCGCCTCCGGTTAGTTCCTGCTTTTCATTCCTCCTGGGAAATAATAATAATAACTATTATGTATATTGATCCAGTCAATCATTTATACGTCACGTGTTGCAGACGCGCATCCAGGGAACTAGGCCAAAGGCATCAGGACCAAGCACAACTCGTCTCTCGGGGGAGGCACAGCTAGCGCTGCGCTTCAGTTACAACGGGCGAAACTTTGTTCCGTCTCCTCCTTCTTCTGGGCTTTTTTTTTACAATTATTCCATGGAATCACTAACAGATAGCGGTAAGTGGCTTTGCCTTTTAGCGGTTGTGGTATGCTCTAGTAGACTGCGTGAGCCAGGTCGTTATAGTCCTCTGTCGAACCTCTTGGTCCCTTCTCCATCTTTTTTTCTTCTATCTTTTGACACTTCCGTACATTTACTTCAGCGACTTTGGCACTTCTAAGCCCAAATACGATGTGACCCTACATCGCCGTATCTTACTATACAACTGAATCCGCCGCACGGAGTGTTAATCGTAGGAAAGACACTTCGATGAAGCATACCATTTAGTAGTCTTGGGTTGGTCTGCACAGACTGCCTGAGTTCAATCGTACGATCCCGCCAACACAGAACCAGTTATTCAGATGTCTTAACGTCTTTATTACGAAAACTCAAGGTAATAAAGACGATTTATTTTCTGCACTGTTGGGTAATCAAGTAAAACAAATGTACGATGCACATGGGTGGTTAAAAGAACCACAGACAAGAAGTCGGACTAGGAACAGCGTCGGAATTGTGGTCCTGTGTGATCTTAGCATTACATAAAACAACTTGTATCGGCCCAATTTACAGTCTCTTACTGCATTTTTTAAACTAAACATATCTTTTAATAGAATACTTGGTATGAAACCGTCGTTTCGAAAGCTCTCATACCGCGACAAAGTGTAGAAGTTATGTTAGCAAATATTACCCCAGTAGCCTCTTGAGGACGAAATTACCTAGTGTATTTATTCGAATAATATAAGAGCATGATTCCTCATCGAATTCGCGAATTTGGATTCGTTTAAAGTCAGCAATGTTCTGTAATTGGCTGGAGCGTCAGCTAGTGTTTTAAAAGAGCATTAGCAGTGGCAGCAATCAAAGGCGGCCTGGGCGATGCTAATCAACTTCAGCGCGGGTAGACCTTACCGTGGAGAGTACAGCGAATACGTCGAAACAATCACAGATCTGCGCCCACAAGAGCATTCCCCTATCAGCCATTGGCAATTTACGATGCAACCCAGTTGACCCTTCACAGAATCAACGTTTTTATGGGCACTTCCATAGGTGAGCCCTAGAGACATAGGAGAATTATGTGAGACACTTGCACAAAACTAAAATGCCAGCCACTAAGGCAGGTAGCGCGACCTAACGATGGACCAACTAGCTGCCGGTTATTCCTCTTTAAAGCCCAAAATACTCGCTGAACAGATCTGCCAATCAAAACTGAACAAAAGGGTAGAATTTAGGTTTTAGCGAGGGTGTTTGATCAGATGAAGCGATGTGTTAAACAATTGAGCGAATTCGATTAAGTTCTAGGTCTCTGTGCTGACCTACTCATAACAGCAGGTCACAGCCTGTCACCGAAACAAAGCGTTAACGCCGAGGGTCTCTTAGCAATAATGGAGACGGAGAATAGACGGAGCTAGACGGTGTCCGGGATGCTACACTCGATGTCGAGACAGTCTAACGTACCCACTGCTTCTAACTGGTTTTCGAACGCGCGGCCAGTCATGAGACTCAGTCACGTCTACTGCCGACAGAGCCAAGTGGCTATCGCTTACGCTGTTGCAATCTTAATCATTGGAACCGATATATATATATATATATTGAAGAGGTAAAATCTAATAGCAGCAAGTAACACGTCGCTCGCGTGCGGGTATCCAGCGTCTACTGGTTGCACGCAGAGAGTTTCACAATGGTCAGAGCAGTCTCATACCTTTACAAGGGTCCAAAGGAGCTAAAGTGCTGCTATCATTGTAGCAGTAACACTGCATTTAGGACTCCTACTACGACCGTTCCTGTTGTGATTTCCAGTGCCGATCGCCCGATGAAGCGCGAAAATCAGACAGAATCTATGCCTGTAGAAAACCTATCCGAGAGCTATTTGGGTAGCCCTATTAGGCTTTTCATTGCGAACGGGAGTGGATAAACGTGCTTGCTTTGCACTTGCTGGTAAACACTGTTCGAGAACGGGACGCATATCGGTATCAAAAATATATGTACTATCCATAGTCCATATGAATATCAGCATAATCACAATGCATCGGTTTTTTAAAGTTCATGTACACCATATTTCCCAACAGAATTTTTTTTCGTGGTACTTAGCACTGATAGTCGTCTCAGTTGAAACAGTTAGCTTGAGTGCCTGTCAAAAGCTATAAACACAATTCCAAAATATTGTGTAGCAGAGCCAGCTACACCACGTAGTTTGTCCTAAGGTGTTTCGACTTATGACGCTAGCATTTTCCTAAAAAATCACTGACCATAGTCAGGTTATAGGCTAGGTAAAAACTCTACTCGTAACGGCCTGTTCGAAGAGAGGTAGAATATGGTATGGATTCGAATCCGGGGGTCGACATGCCTCATTCTGTTGGGCCCCACCAAGGTTGTCTGGTATAATTTGAAATACGGTTCCGTATGTGAAATTCTACATTTTTAAACTGACAGTATTGTTTTTTTTTTAGCTCTCCATTGTATATACGTATACAAGTCGGGTTAAAGGTTAATAATGGCGGTACATTGGGAATGTTCAAATATTCCCGAAGGTTGATTTCTGTTTACTATGGGACTGCTTGTGCAACACGCAATAAGGGCACGACTCAGCATGATATTACTCTTTTTCTCTTCGAAAAAGAGGATGATCGGTTATCACAGCAGAGAAGTCGATCAATTTTATCCCAGATGTGAGCTTCCATGATGCTTATGATAGCAGTACGACCCAAATCATGCCAAACATTTTCTAATACTCTGTAATATAACAATAGCGACAACCTCGATGATATAGGAGCAATTTGAAACAAAGTACGTTTTCGAGTAAGATAGAAGCACTCAGCACGCCATCACCACGTTACGCCACTAGACTCGTAGACAATACTCGCAAGGTCTCAGCAGTGATTCACAGTTAATTATGCAGGTTAGCTGTTCTTCGAATACATAGAACTTGTACACGGTATATCGAGCCGACAGCGGTAAAGGATGCCGACTATTAGGTCGTTGTACGCAGTGCTGCTGGCTTCCAAACCTGTGACTGAACAGAAACCACCGAAGACCGAATGTCATCGCTTTTGTATACTCTATTCGGTATAATGGTTCAAGCCATAGAAGGTGACACGGGACGCAAATCACAACTTGAGTACCCTGAACTTTCTCTAATCAATGACTGTCCCGCGACCAACTTTTTTGAAGAAAGCAATACGCAGTGATAAGTGCGTTAATGACGGAAATCGATTGGCAACTAGGTATTTTTAATTACCCTTTTTTTTAAAGATAGCGCAGACATTTTTTTACGAAGTGCCAGCTTTTCTGACGACCTGGGCGAAGTACTACTAAGTTCAACGCAACGGGAACGGTAAGCCACCACAGTGCCTATTGTGCTTTTCCTGACACAACTATCTTATGTTTATTATTTGCAAGAAATAGCATGTCCATCTTGTCGCAATGATGTTGCTATCATCATCATCAGGCTAACTGTTAGCCAGAATAACGTGGATTCGTTCTATCGTATAAACATCATCGATCGTTTACCGACATCCTTATCCTTTATTCTCCCTCTCTGCTCACGTTTTCCTTTTAGAGTATAAGGACCTCGTCGTCCTGTTCGCTTCTTTTGCAAGCTGCAGATATTGACGCCCCCGAACCCCTCCTATAGACGCTCATTCTTTGCAAGCTGATTATGCGTTGCTACCTGCTCCCGCCTCCAAGCGGAGAACACAAAAGGCGAGTCACGTGTAGCGCGGCGCGTACGTCACACGTCCACTGAATGTAACATCGACTGCTGTAAATCTGTGCCGTCAGAAAAAGAGAGCTGAGCTGAGCTGAGCTAAGCTTTGACCACCTCCTGGGCATCCGTAAACCCCTCTGCGTTAGCCAGTGCTCAAAATTATAAGCGAGCACGTTTTTCCCCATTCCGTGAGCGGTGTCCGGGTCCTCGGTTCCGCATCGTCTACTTAGCAGATTTAACCTATTCACGTGGCGCACGAGACGGAGACGAATTTATTGTGCTACTCAATTTTCGTTCTAGGAAAAAGATAAAAGCATAACGAACCTAAATCGCCTAAAATCGCGGGTCCGTACCAAAAAGACTTTATTTA